TCTCTCTCTTCTCTCTCTTTCTCTCTGTCTCTTTCTCTCACTCTTTTTCTTTTTCTTTCTCTTTTTTCTTCCTTCCTTCCTTCCTTCCTTCCTCTCTCTGTCTCTCTATTTTCTTTCTCTTTCTTTCTTTTCCTTCCTTCCTTCCTTCCTTCCTTCCTTCCTTCCTTCCTTCCTTCCTTCCTCTCTCTCTGTGTCTGTCTCTCTCTCTCTCTTGACTGACTTCAAGACCCCCCCTCCTGTTCCCGTTTTTTTTTTTTTTTTTGCGAGGAGGTGTTGTCCTTTTTACACACACGAGAGGTCCCTTTTCCAAAGTTCCCAGCACATGGTTAATTTGATTACGGCCAGGATACACCAACTGCTTCAGCGCCTTCCACCACGCGCCTGGGGAAAGGGGAGGGGAAGAGCCCGGGCACCCCTCCGCACAAAATAAATCAAATCAGAAAGAAGTGTGGATGCAAAACCCCCACTCCTTGACTTCCAAGCATCCCAAATGGAATTAAGGGTCCCCATTGTCTTCCTCACCCCCCTTTTAAACCCCCAAATAGAGGGTTTTGGTTTTTTTTGTGGCTCTTAACGCAGCCAGCAAAGGCAGGGAGGTGAGCAAAGCGGCTTTATTATTATTATTTTTGCCCCTCCCCTAAAATGTTGCCCGCCCAGGGGGGAGGAGGGCAGGGGGCTCAGAAAGGCTGCCAATCACAAAGCCGCAAGAAAGGGATCAGCTGAAGGAAATGGGTAGAGGGTACCAGCATTCCTTGACTTACGACGATTCAAAGTTACGACGGCACTAAAAAAAGGAACTTAGGACTGTTTTTCACGCTTAAGGACCGTCGCCACATCCCCAGGGTCACGTGATCCACACTCAGACCCCCGGCAACCAACTCACCTTAATGACGGTTGGCGGTGTCTCTGGGTCACGTGAGTCCCAGGGTCACGTGATCAAAATTCAGACCCTCGGCAACCGACTTCCCTTAATGACGGTTGCAATGTCATTATGTGTCACGTGATCCCCTTCCATGGGGAAGCCCGATTCGTTTTACCACCGTGCTACTCCTAACCGAGCCGCTGCAGCGATCCACTTAACAACCGTGGTGGGAAAGGCCATCAGACGGGGCAAGGAAAAGTCATAAAACGGGGGCAAAAACTCCCTTAGCGACCGATAGAAATGGTTCAACTCCGTCGTGGTCGTAAGCCGAGGACCAGCTGTCAATAAGGACAATTATTTCAAAGAAGAAAGAGAGGGGAAATGTAAAGAATAGACGAGTACTGTTACAAACTGCTGTTAACAAAAAAGGATATATTACGTGTGTATGTGTGTAATGTTTGTTGTGTTTTGTTTTGTTGGTCTAAAATAATAAAAAAATAAAAATTAAAAAAAAAAAGAAATGGTTCAACTCCGTCGTGGTCGTAAGCCGAGGACCAGCTGTCTTGAGGACTCGGCTCCGGGAGCAAAGAAAGAGAGAAAAAAAATAAACTTTGCTTCCCTCTTTTTCTGGGAGATTCTTCGCCCGGAATCTTTATTTTTCTTTTCTCCTCACCGCTCCCCCTTTCCATTTTTTTCTCTCCCTTGGAAAAAAAGAGGATCGGGAAGCCGGGAAACAAACAACAAGGCCAACAAAATGCCGGTTTGTATAGAAGCTGCAATTCGCTTGTCAGGCCTGTCATGTCTCGCTCCTCCGAAGCGGTTTTTCCCCTCCGGCTAAACACTCCGTAACATGGGAATGGATCAAATATTAAACACCAGAGAGAGTTCCCAAACGCCTCTCTGTTTGATTGCTTCATTTGGAGGAGACCGCTAACAATCCCCACCAGAGGTGGCCCAGGATCAAAAGAGCAGCTTGGAAATGCCATCGTGGCTTAAAGAAGACTAGCCAGGATTCTCCCATGGATGGCCTTCGGAGAAAAGGAAGCTGCCATCCACACCGACAGGGCCCATCGACCCGGTTTCCGATCAAACTCCGGGTCACAAATAAGAGATGCGCCAACCCAGCGACCGACAATAGCTGTTTATTTATTTTTATGTTTCTTTTCCGGGAAAGTCGGTTTGGTGGGAGACTAGGGCCCGTTTGCCTCTTGCGGTAGCCATTCACACACCCTGCTTTGAGTTGAACAGACCATGGCTAGTGAATAGAGAACAGGCGCTCTGTGACGGCATGGAAGCATCACAGATGTGCCTTGAACGCTGCGGGTTTTTGTGTGTGTGTGTGTGTCCCTTTCAGGGAGTCCATTTGTTCGTCTTGCAGGCCAGTCACTCAGTTGGATGGCTGTTATAATAAGCTGCAGATCATGTTTTATTTTATGTCTTGGATACTAGCTTGGAGCACCTGATGGCATCTCTTAAACCATGAGTCTCCAAATTTGCGAAGTATAAGACGTGTGGACTTCAACTCCCGGAATTCAACTCCCAGAATTCTTCAGCCACCATGGCTGGTTGAGGAATTTTGGGAGTTGAAGTCCACAATTCTTAAAGTTGCCAAGATTGGAGACCTCCTACTATGAATCACAACCAGTGGACTTCAACTCCCAGAATTCTTCAGCCATCATGGCTGGTTGAGGAATCCTGGGAGTTGAAGTCCACAATTCTTAAAGTTGCCAAGACTGGATATCCTTGCTATAAATCACCAGCTGTGGTCTTCAACTCCCAGAATTCTTCAGCCACCATATTTGATTGAGGAATCCTGGGAGTTGAAGTCCACACGTCTTTAAGGTTCCCAAGATTGGAGACCCCTGTCTTAAACCATACAGGTGTTCCTCAACTTTCAACAGCTTGTTTAGTAACCATTTAAAGTTACAACGGCAAGAAAAAAAGGACAGTTTTTCACACTTAACAACTGTTGCGGCATTCCCCCAGCGTCAGGTGATCAAAATCCAGACGCCTGCTCACCGCTTCGTAGTATTGACCATTGCTGTGTCCCCGGGGTGTTTGTGGTGTCACGTGATCCCTTTTTGCGACCCTTTTGGGAAGGGTGTGTGTGTAAAAAAAAGAAAACTAAAGGTTCCGAGCGAAGAATCTCCCAGAAGAAGAGGGAAGCAAAGTTTATTTTTCCTCTCTTTGCTCCCGGAGCCGAGTCCTCAACACAGGTGGCTCTCCACTTACGACTGCGATGGGGTTCAAAAAAATTCTAGATCAGTGTACTAGCCTCACCGATCTTCTTCGCTGTCCGTCCAAATCCGTTTTGTCTTCTTCTTCAACGGTCTGGCGTTCTGGCAACGTGGCACGCCCACCCGTTTTCCTCGGTAAATAATAGGTTGCCATCACCACATGGATAGAGAGCACGATTCATTATCATTATTCTCCTGGGCTTCCTATCCAGGGCTTTTAGTTCTGCTTGACCAACCCATTTTATCTGACTAATGGATGGGCCGGTTCCATGTTTCTGATTTTTATGCCTTCAAGGTTTATCCTTTAATTCTTCTTCTTCTTCTTCTTCTTCTTCTTCTTCTTCTTCTTCTTCTTCTTCTTCTTCTTCTTCTTCTTCTTCTTCTTCTTCTTCTTCTTCTTCTCTTCTTCTTCTTCTTCTTCTTCTTCTTCTTCTTCTTCTTCTTCTTCTTCTTCTTCTTCTTCTTCTTCTTCTTCTTCTTCTTCTTCTTCTTCTTCTTCTTCTTCTTCTTCTTCTTCTTCTCCTGCTCCTTCTCCTTCTCCTTCATCTTCTTCCTTCTTCAGTTCTTCTTCTTCTTCTTCTTCTTCTTCTTCTTCTTCTTCTTCTTCTTCTTCTTCTTCTTCTTCTTCTTCCTCTTCCTCTTCCTCTTCCTCCTTCTTCTCCGTCTTCTCCTTCTTCTTCTGCCCTATCCGTTATCGGACATTGGCGGTCATGTTGGCGATCCTGTTTTTATCAGCAGCTGCATGAAAAAAGTGCTGCTGAGTTTTGTCCAAACCAGTCCCTTAGATTTTGAAGCCACGACGTTCTTCTTCTGCCTGGATCTCGTTGGCCTTCCATCTTTCCCTGGAGGATTAAATGGAGTATGCCGTATTTTTCTGGGTGTCACATCACATGTCCAAAATATTCTAATTTTTGTTTTTTGTTATGATGATTTCCCTTGGCTTTCCCAGATGGCTGATCACCTCCTCATTTCTGATCTCGTCAACCCAGCTTATATGTAACAGCCGCCTGTAAATCCACATTTCAAATGCTTCTAGTCTCTTCAGGTGGCCTTCTATCAGAGACTGACTCTCTACTCCATAGAACAGGATAGAAAAAATATAGCATCTGACAAGCCTGATTTTCAGTCTTAGGCTTATGTCGTGACTGCAGAAGACCTTTTTCATTTTGAAGAATGCCGTTCGAGCTTTCTCTATCCTTGTCTTTACTTCAACGGTCATGTCCCAGCTTCCGTGTAATTATACAATGTATAATATCCTTTTGTGTGCGGCATTCGTTCCAGAATTGCATTGTGAGCAGACTGAAAACGTTTTCCCACCTTTTAGATTTTGGAGAATTATTTTACAAACTGTTAGGTAGCCAACGGAGAGCGGACGCTACACTTTTGGGGTACGTTGTCCTCTACAGTTGCAGGAAATCAATGCTTTCAATGGGGGGGCGGATCCTGGGGGGGCTGCAGAAAAAGGGGTTTTGAGCCCACAGGTAGTGTGAGACCACAATTACACAGCTGCTAACCACTGTCGTGTCTTCCATGCACCCATTAAGTTTGGTGCCACTCGGAAACGGATATCCTTAACTCCTTGACTTATGACCACAAAATTTGCGTTGCTAAGTGAAACGTTTGCGGAGCGAGCTTGGCTCCATTTTACAAGCTTTTTTGTTTTGTTTTTTTGCCACTGTTGTTAAGCCAATCACTCCACTTGTTGGAATTAATAAATGAATCTTGACTTTGATTGCCAGGAGGTCGCGAAAGGGGATCCCACCACCCCCAGGGACACGGCGACCGTCACAACTGTGAAGCGTCTGAATTTCGATCACGTGACCAGGGGGGGAATGCCGCAAAATTACCTGCCTTTCAATTAAATATCCTAACAGCAAATCTCTCACAATTTTCATTTATAGGATATGCTGTGAAGAGTTGCTGTGAAGTATTGCTGGATGCCGGTGTTGCCCTTCGACATGGCGACAGGTCGCCTTGGAGATGTAAGTGTGGAAAAACGCTCACTTTTTCCGTTGCCGTTGTAACTTGGAACGGTCGCTACATGAACTGTTGTTGGTCAAGGACCACCTGTGTTCTGTGGTGCTTTGGGGCGTGAACACCGCTCCTCCTCCGAGGAATTAAAGGACGGTGTATCCACTGGGGATACTGTGAATGCTGGAAATGATGGGGGGGGGAGGAAACCCAGAAATAGTTGCTACTCCTTCTCGTAAGAGGAACCTCCCCTCTGTTCCTCTCCCCCCTTTTTTTGCTAATAGCTGCTGGATTAGAAGGATCGGAGACCGTTTTAAGGGGTGCCCAGATGTAAAAGTGACATCTGCTGCAGACAAAAGAGAATAAATTGAATTAGGCCGTGAGGCCTTGATTCTCTTGGCGAGCAAAAGCAGAGAAACAGACGCACTTGTCAAGAATGAAAACAAAAGCGCCAGTCCAGAGGCAAAGGGGGTCCCCGTTTGTTTGCTTATATCCGGCCTTTATATACTTTTTACAAATGAGTCAAGGTGGCAAACATACCCAGCACAGCTGTCTCTTCCTATTTTCCCCCACAATAACATCCTTGCAAGCTGGGTTGGGCTGAGAGTGAAGGACTGGCCCAACATCACCCAGCTAGCTTTCATATCTAAGGTGGGACTAGAACTCACCATCTCCTGGTGACTGGCCCAAAGTCACCTAGCTGGCTTTCATGTCTAAGGCGGGACTAGAACTCAGCGTCTCCTGGTGACTGGCCCAAAGTCACCTAGTGGGCTTTCAAGTCTAAGGCGGGACTAGAACTCACCGTCTCCTGGTGATTGGCCCAAAGTCACCCAGTTGGCTTTCATGTCTAAGGCGGGACTAGAACTCACCGTCTCCTGGTGATTGGCCAAAGTCACCCAGTTGGCTTTCATGTCTAAGGCGGGACTAGAACTCAGCGTCTCCTGGTGATTGGCCCAAAGTCACCTAGCTGGCTTTCATGTCTAAGGCAGGACTAGAACTCACTGTCTCCTGGTGATTGGCCCAAAGTCACCCAGTTGGCTTTCATGTCTAAGGCGGGACTAGAACTCACCGTCTCCTGGTGATTGGCCAAAGCCACCTAGCGGCTTTCATGTCTAAGGCGGGACTAGAACTCACTGTCTCCTGGTGATTGGCCCAAAGTCACCCAGTTGGCTTTCATGCCTAAGACGGGACTAGAACTCAGCGTCTCCTGGTGATTGGCCCAAAGTCACCCAGTTGGCTTTCATGCCTAAGACGGGACTAGAACTCACCGTCTCCTGGTGATTGGCCCAAAGTCACCTAGCTGGCTTTCATGTCTAAGGCGGGACTAGAACTCACCGTCTCCTGGTGATTGGCCCAAAGTCACCTAGCTGGCTTTCATGCCTAAGACGGGACTAGAACTCACCGTCTCCTGGTGATTGGCCCAAAGTCACCTAGCTGGCTTTCATGTCTAAGGCGGGACTAGAACTCACCGTCTCCTGGTGATTGGCCAAAGCCACCTAGCGGCTTTCATTGCTTAAGGTGGGACTAGAACTCGCCATCTCCTGGTCACTGAGTTATTTAGAGTTCCCTTAGAGCCGTGGTGGTGCAGTTCACTTCAAGAGTTCAATTCTGACCGGCTAAAGGTGGACTCAGCCTTCCGCCCTTCCGAGGTCGGTAAAATGAGGACCCAGATTGTGGTGGGGAAGAGGCTGACTCCGTAAACCGCTTAGAGAGGGCTGTGAAGCGGTATATAAGTCTAAGTGCCACTGCTGTTGCTTAAAGCAAGGATTGTCTGTTACGTGACCCCATAACAGAGCTTGATAATTCTGTTTAGGATCCCAAACCAGACTTTTGGTGAGGCAACAGGGTGGAATGCAAGTCCTGGCAATGGACATCTCTAGATACAAGACCTGCGTTTAAAATATAGTTTGTTTCCTCTATTACTTATTTAAATCAGTCTGTAAGAATACTTTTGTCGAATCTGCAGCAATGTCCCCTAGTTTTAGAATCTAATTACGGCAAGAACTGGCGACATGATATTGAATTTTAGAAGGACGTGATTTGATTTTCATTCTCTTTTTAGTGGACCCTCGTGGCTGGGATTCTCCTGGTAGAGAATCAAGATGGGCGGGATATAAATTTAATAAATCAATCAATTTACCTTTCCCCACCCCATTTAAAGATTCCATATCCTTGTTGCCGTCCTTGATGGCAAGTGATGGATTGGTTCTTTTTCTCCTGCCTTTAAGGTCGATGCCCTTCCTTGGGATCATTTTTCCAAGATGCAAACCCCAATTTTAGACCAATGTCCCTTTAAACGACAGCTGTGCAGCTGTTTGTGATTAAGGTGACTCCAGTAGAGTCCTCTTGTCCTCTTCCAGGTGTAGCCTACAGCCCTGGGACCTCTTGGTGATGTCCCATCCAAGACTTTGCCAAGTCTAACCTGTTTAGTATTTTCCCAGATTTATAGGGAAATGTAGGGGAAGGAAGGGCAGAAACTGGGGGCGGAGTTAAAAGAGGGATCAACCTAGAATCCCTACATAGCCATAAGCAAACTAAGTCCAATCTCCCTTGAATTCCGTAGACCACAACCTACTACTTGATAAGATAGAAAAATGCGGGTTAGACAGCATCACCACCAGATGGATCCGTAACTGGCTGACCAGCCATACTCAGCGTGTGGTCCTCAATGGAACCGCATCTACATGGAGGGAAGTGTGTAGCGGGGTGCCCCAGGGCTCTGTTCTGGACCCAGTGCTCTTCATCTTTGGATGAGGGGATAGATAGGGAACTCATCAAATTTGCAGATGACACCAAGCTAGCAGGAATAGCCAACACTCCAGAAGACAGGCTTAGGATACAGGAAGATCTGGACAGACTTGAACACTGGGCGCTATCTAACAAAACGAAATTCAGTGGTGAAAAAAGTAAAGTTCTACATTTAGACGAGAAAACCCAAATGCACAGGCATAGTATAGGGCAGTGGTGGTGAACCTATGGCATGGATGCCAGAGGTGGCACTCAGAGCCGTCTCTGTGGGCACGCGTGCCGTCGCCCCAGTCCTAGGCTTTCAGCTGGGTTTTATAAAACCTTTTCACTTTAGGCCTCCGCCGTCGTGTGCAAAAAAAAAAAAAAGGTTCAATCAGTCAATTTCAACTTCTCGCGGGAAAAAAAAAGATCTTGCAAAGTTGGAATTGATTGATTGAACTTTTTAGTCCCACCAGTCTGCCGTTACCACTGCAGCCACGCCCACCCAATGGGCCACACCCACCCGGCACCGGACGATGCATAAGTGGGTTTTGGGTTACAGTTTGGGCATTCAGTCTCTAAAAAGTTTGCTATCACTGGTATAGGGGTACCTTGCTCAATAGTAGTAACTGTGAGAGGGACCTCGGAGTCCTAGTGGACAGTCACTTAAATAGGAGCCAGCCGTGTGCTGCAGCTGCCAAAAAGGCCAACACAGTGCTGGGCTGCATGAACAAAGATGGAGATTCTCAGTCATCCAGATACGGTTGTTCCAAAGATGCTTTTTTTTTTTTCTTTCAGGAGGCAACTGGACTTTCTTGTTTTTCTCTGAAGACGTTTCGCTTCTCATCCCAGAAGTTTCTTCTGCTCCGACTTACATGGTCCTTCCACTCCCCACCATCCAGTCAGAGCTGAAGATGTTTCTTGGATGAGAAGCGAAACGTCTTCAAAGAAAACCAAGAAAGTCCAGTTACCCCCTGAAAAAAATAACAAAGATCACCTTTGGGACATGAGTGGTGTAGTAGTGATAGCTTGCTTATCTGAGCTGATAGCTCTACTAACTCAGAAACCATCAGACAAACAAGCTAACAGTAAACAACAGCCTAATCAAGGAATCACCAAGAATATACCCCGCAACAGACCAAGCCTTTACTTGTATATAAACAGAGAGCAAACCCCACTCCCTTCTGCCACTGATGATGCTACCTCATTGGGTAGTGAAACGTCTGCATGGAAACCACCAAGCTCAGAGACCACCAAGGACCTCACAATCCTTCTCCGCCTCCACTTGTATGATGATGTGACCTCGTTGGGTAGTGAAACGTCTGCGTTGAAACCACCAAGCTCAGAGAGCACCAAGGACCTCACAATCCTTCTCTGCCTCCACTTCTATGATGACGTGACCTCGTTGGGTAGTGAAACGTCTGCATGGAAACCACCAAGCTCAGAGAGCACCTAGGACCTCACAATCCTTCTCCGCCTCCATTTGTATGATGATGTGACCTTGTTGGGTAGTGAAACGTCTGCATGGAAACTACCAAGCGCAGAGAGCACCAAGGACCTCCCAATCCTTCTCCACTTCCACTTCCATGATGATGTGACCTTGTTGGGTAGTGAAACGTCTGCATGGAAACCACCAAGCTTAAGAGAGCACTAAAGACCTCACAATCCTTCTCCACCTCCACTTCTATGATGACGTGACCTCGTTGGGTAGTGAAATGTCTGCATGGAAACTACCAAGCTTAAGAGAGCACCAAGGACCTCACAATCCTTCTCCGCCTCCATTTGTATGATGACGTGACCTCGTTGGGTAGTGAAACGTCTGCATGGAAACCACCAAGCTTAAGAGAGCACCAAGGACCTCACAATCCTTCTCCGCCTCCACTTCTATGATGACGTGACCTCGTTGGGTAGTGAAACGTCTGCATGGAAACCACCAAGCTCAGAGAGCACCAAGGACCTCACGGTCAGCAGGCCCTCCATGGCTGAGGGTGGACCACTTTCCACCTTTAATCCAACTCTTTAACCATTTATACCACACTAGTTTGCAATTCCTAGACTACGTTCCTAAACAAAGCCTGTTCTGAGAACTTCAACTCCTACACAGTTGGAGGGCTCCAGATTGGGGAAGGTCAAAGAGCTGTGGTAGCAGTGCAAATTTTGATTTTTTTTTTTTTTAAAAAAAACACTTTTTCATGGTCTCTCTTAGGAACGACCCTTGCTAAGTTCTGGACGACGGCTTTATCTGAGATTCCGTTTTTGATAGATGGAAATTCACTGTAATGCT